ATCGTCCTCCCTCCTCCTCCTCCTCATCCCGGGCGCTCCCTGGAGATTCATCCTCCTCCTGGTCCTCTTCCTCCTCCTGCTCCTCCCCCCCTCCTTGGGGATCCTCCTTTTTCGTCCTTTCCTCCTCCTCCTCCTCCTCCTCCTCCTCCTCCTCCTCCTCCTCCTCCTCCTCCTCCTCCTCTTGCTTGGAGGTCCTCCTCCTCCTCATCCGCCTCCTCCTCCTCCTCCTCCTCCTCCTCCTCCTCCTCCTCCTCCTCCTCCTCCTCCTCCTCCTCCTCCTCCTCCTCCTCCTCCTCCTCCTCCTCCCTCCTCCCCCCTCCCCTCACCCTTCCCTCCCCCTCCCCCTCATCCCCTTCCTTTCCCCTCCTCCTGCTTCCTCCTCCTCCTCCTCTCTCCTCCTCAGCTCCCTCCTCATCCTCCTCCTCCTCCTCCTCCTCCTCCTCCTCCTCCTCCTCCTCTCCCCTCCTCCTCCTCCTCCATCCTCCTCCTCCTCCTCCTCCTCCTCCTCCTCCTCCTCCTCCTCCTCCTCCTCCCTCCCCTCCTCCTCCTCCTCCTCCTCCTCCTCCTCCTCCTCCTCCTCCTCCTCCTCATCATCATCATCAATCATCATCATCATCATCATCATCATCATCAGCATCATCATCATCATCATCCTCATCATCATCATCATCATCATCATCATCATCATCAGCGTCATCATCATCAGCATCGCCAACGTCATCAGCATCAGCAGCACATCATCAGCATCAGCATCAACAGCATCGGCATCAGCATCAGCAGTATCAGCATCAGCAGTATCTGCATCAGCAACAGCATCAGCAGCAGCATCAGCAGCAGCATCATCAGCATCAGCATCAGCAGCATCATGAACAGCACCAACATAATCAGCAGCAGCATCAGAATCAGCATCCCCTCCGGGATCAGCATCCTCATCCTCATCCTCATCCACAGCCTCATCCTCGTCATCAGCATCATCATCAGCAGCAGCATCATCATCGACATCATCATCAGCAGCAGTATATGATCCTCGTCAGCATCGTCATCAGCAGCAATAGCATCATCATCATCAGCATCATCATCATCAGCATCATCATCATCATCATCATCAGCAGCATCATCCACATCATCACCATCATCATCATCATCATCATCATCAGCGGCATCATCATCAGCAGCATCAGCATCATCAACATCAGCATCGTTATCATAATCATCATCAGCAGCAGCATCATCACCATCATCATAATCAGCAGCAGCAGCATCATCAGCAGCATCATCATCATCGGCATCATCAGCAGCAGCCTCAGCATCATCATCATCATCAGCATCAGCATCATCAGCATCACTCATCATCAGCATCAGCATCATCGTCTTCATCGGCAGAATCAGCATCAGCATTATCGACGGCATCAGCATCATCATCAGCATAACCATCAACAGCCGCATCAGCATCAGCACCAGCATCAGCATCAGCATCAGCATCAACATCAACATCAGCATCATCATCAGCGTCGTCATCCAATTCATCATCATATTCTACAGCATCATCATCATCATCGTCAGCATCATCATCATCAGCATCAGCAGCATCGTCGGCATCAGCATCGTCATCATAATCAGTTTAACAAGCAGCAGCAGCAGCATCATCATCCTCGGCATCATCAGCATCATCAGCATCAGCATCAGCATCCTCATCGTCGTCATCAGCATCGTCATCAGCATCAGCATCAGCATCATCATCATCATCATCATCATCATCATCATCATCATCATCATCTTCAGTATCATCCTCATCACTAGCATCATCAGCAGCAGAGTCATCATCAGCATCATTATCATCAGCCGCATCATCATCATTATCATCATCATCATCATCATCATCATCATCATAGGCAGCAGCATCATCATCAGCATCAGCATCAGCATCATCATCATCATCAGAATCAGCATCATCATCAGCATCATCAGCAGCAGCAGCACCCTCCTCCTCCTCCTCCTCCTCCGCCGCCTCCTCCTCCTCCTCCTTCTCCTCCTGCTCCTCCTCCTGCTCCTCCTGCTCCTCCCCCTCCTCAGTTTACGATTATTCCAAGGATTCGTACAGTTGAAGTCCCAGAAGTAATGTTCGGGCACGACTAAAGATTGCCAGGACGCACCAGTCACGTCGATCCGCGGTGCAGAAGACCGAGGGGCTGTGCTCTGACACGATTTAGGATTGTCAGGACGTAACAGACACGTTGATCAGCGGCGTTGAAGTCCAAGGAATAATGTTCTGGCGCGACTTGAGGTGATTACGTACACAAAAGTCTTCCATTACGCCGCTTCCCGCAATGATAACAAATTCTGGAGTGAACTATGAAGAGACCTTTTGGAGGGAGGGTGTATTGCGACATCGTTGATGCGTGATGGGCTTACACTGGTCGTCCTCTTCCTCACCACCACCACCACCACCACCACCACCACTACCATCATCATCATAATCATCATCATCATCAGCAGCATCAGCATCAGCATCAGCATCAGCAGCAGCATCATCATCCTCATCATCGTCATCATCCTCAGCAGCATCATCATCGTCGTCATCAGCAGTAGCAGCATCAGCATCATCATCCTCATCAACATCATCAGCAGCATCATCATCATCGTGATCCTCATCCTCATCCTCATCCTCATCATCATCATCATCATCATCATCATCATCATCATCATCATCATCATCATCATGCTCATCCTCATCAACACCTCCTCCTCCTCCTCCTCCTCCGCCCCCGCGTCACCGCCGACCCTCGGCGTTCCCTCCCACCGCCCGCACCAGGGCGCGGCTTCTTGCACAGCTCCGCGGGTGCAGAGAAGGCGGAGGACGGTGCAGACCCAGACGCCCTCGCGTAGTGGAGAAACAAAAAAAAAAAAAACAGCGGCCGAGCGACGTAATCACAGCGAGAGCTAGACAGGGCTAACAATAACCGAATTCTACTCAGCGCAGCGGGCGGGTGGCTGCGCGAAGGCAGACGTAGAGGGCGGGCAGACAGACCGCGCGTGGCGTCGCGAAAAAAAAAAATAAATGCGACGGCGGATTCTTCCTTCACCACTTTCGGACCTCGGGGGGGGGGGCGCTTCCCGGCCCCGGGGCCGTCAGATCCGCCGACGCCGCCGGCGTGTGCGAGGGGACTTGTTCACTCGAAGCCTCTCATCCTTCCCTGCAGGGGTCCGCCCACCCGAGGGAAGTCGAGGTGCGCCATCATCGCGCCCAGTGCAACGCCGCAGTCGCGCCAGAGGGAGGTCAGCCAAGGGAGGGGGCGCGCCCTTGCTCCAGGGCACGGCGCGATCCCGAGGGGTCCCACGCGCCGCGCGCACGCGCGCACCTGCGTCAGTGTGGCGAGCTCCGCGTTGCCGAAGCGGAACAAACGTATCGTTGGCTGGGCAGCTCAAACCAGGCTTGGACGCGCAACGCTGGCGTCTCCAAACCAGCATGCCGACTCCTCATACCCATCGTAATGTCCAGCGCACAAGGCGCACTCTCGAGCGCCCGTGCGTTGATGCGTTAACGATGGAGACAAGCCCGCGCACATGGGTACGGGAGGCCGCTTGTTACCCAAATTCTGGCTGGCTCATCAACCAGATCCGCTGGCCCCCTTGGGAGGCAACAGAGGCTGCGAGGCGTAGGTGTTCCTGCTCCCTGCAGAAGCTCTAGCCCCCACATACGCATTGTAGATATCCTGCTATCTAGTTCCACTGCTGCAGGGACTGAAGACCGCGCAAAGGGGGAGCCCGAAAACCACTCGGTTACCACCCCGGTTTGGTGTTCTCAGAACTTCCTTGGGGGGCCCTGGGGCACGTAGAATACGCCACACTCGCGCTCCAGCAGCCACAGCCCCTCGGAAATTACGCCATGCTCGCGCCCCCGAACCAACAACCTTTCGTAAAATACACCGGACTCGCGCTGCCCAAGCCACAATCCCTAGCAAAATTCGCCATACTCGCGCTCCCCAAGCCACAATCATTTGCAAAGTGAACCAGGTTCGTGCTTCCCAGGCCAGAACCCTTCGCTGATCGTGAATTGCTACGCCGCGGCGCTCCCCAAGACACAATCCCTCGTAAGTTACGCCATGGTCGCACTCCCCAAGCCACAATCCCTTGCAAATGAAAACAGGTTCGCGCTCCCGAGGTCACAACACTTCGCACAGTATCACAAGTTTGCGCCTTCGAAGCACCAGTCCCTGGAAACTACTACGCGTTGGCGCTCCCGAGGCCGCGACCCCACCCCACGGAGACCGCTCGGAAGCGCCCCACTCCAGAGCAGAAAAGCTTACATGTTCTGCGCTAGGATATGTGCGCCTTGTTGTTCCCCTGTCTCCCTCTACATGGTGGCTGAATTCGCCGAACGCACCCCTCTTTTTGCTTTACTCGCCAGCGCAGTCCCCCTGCCCAGCCGCCGACGCCGAAGTGTTGGGATATGTGTTCGGGGGGCGCTTTTCGGCCACCCCCCGTCGCGTCTTGAGAATTCGGTTCGGGGCCCGAGGCCGCGAATCCTCGTAAACAGCTAGGGGTGCACGTTCCCAAAGCCTCGGGACCTCGCAAAATTACTACGGAAGCGCGCTCCCGAGGCCACCATCCCAAATTCCGCCGACCCTACCGGCGTGTGAAAGACGCTGTTCTGTATGCTTCGTCGTCTGTTTGCTTCGTCGTCGTCGTCCTCGTCGCAGTGACTGGGTCCTCCTCCTCCTCCTCCTCCTCCTCCTCCTCCTCCTCCTCCTCCTCAAGCGCACCATCTAAAGCGAATCCAAGCCGAAACTGAGCAACGTCGAGATTGGCTCGAAGGGGAGCCCCTTCACTTTGATCCCTGCCCCCCCCGCGGCGGCAGCAGCGGCAGCGGCGGCGGCGGCGGCGGCAGCGGCGGCAGCGGCGGCGGCGGCAGCGGCGGCGGCGGCGGCGGCAGCGGCGGCGGCGGCAGCGGCAGCGGCAGAGGCAAGAGGGCGCGCGCGGGGGAGGCGTGCGCACGGCGCCCGGCGGGCCGCGGACGCGGCGCGCAGCGGCTCCGCGGAGGCGGACCCGGCGGGGCCCACGAGCTCCCGGAGCACCTGCGAGCGGAAGGCGGCGTCGACGACGGCAATGCGCCAGCGTGGCCGGCGCTGGCCGTGTCCGAGGTTCTCGAAAGGCAGGAGCGGTGCACAGATCGAGGGGAGTGCGCTCGCAGTCTGGACGCCGAGGGGCGCGATCCCACGGGTACGCGGCACCACGGAGGTGCGTGCCGCGCGGGGCACCCGCGCACGGCCGCCCCCGCACCTGCGGGGGGTGGCGGCCGGAGGGTCCTGACCGCGAGGCTGTCGAGTCCTGACCGCGAGGCCGCGAGGATGGATATGTGCCCCGTCCACGAATCTGCGCGCGGACGACGACGACGACGACGACGACGACGACGACGACGACGACGACGACGTTGGCCGTTAGGGACATGTCTCAACCTCGTACGGACGTCGTCGTCGTCGTCGTCGTCCTCGTCGTCCTCGTCGTCGTCTGCGCTGGTCGTCTTCCTTCCGCAGGTTTTCGTCGCGCTTTTGCGAGTAGCTCATCGACGCGGCTGGGCGCGGCTCAGAAACCGGCCAGGATGGAGCCAGGCAGGGTCCTGGAGAACTGGCTTACGCGAACCCATGGCTGATGACAAGACGGGGAGCGGACAGGTATTCGCACGACAGAGGAAACCGACGACAAAACGAGGACGAACTCATCACAAAGAAAACGCATAACAAAAAGGCGAACGCTATCGCTTTCGCTCGCTCGCCTCCCGCTTTCGCCTGCCTCCCGCTTTCGCTCGCCTCCCGCCTTCGCTCGCCTCCCCCTTACGTTCGCCTTTCGCTTACACTCGCCTCCCGCTTATGCTCGCCTCCCGCTTTCGAGCGCCTCCCGCTTGCGGCCTCCCGCTTTCGCTCGACTCCCATCCCACGTTCGCTCGCCTCCCGCTTTCGCTCGCCTCCCGCTTTCGATCACCTCCCGCTCCGCTTTCGTTGGCCTCCCGCTCGCCCTCACTCCCCGCTTTCGCCCGCCTCCCGCTTTCGCTCGCCTCCCGCTTTCGCTCGCCTCTCGCTTTCGATCACCTCCCGCTTGCGATCGCCGTCCGCTTACGCAAGCGTGAGCTTACGCTCACCTACCTCCAGCTTTCGCTCGCCTCTAGCTTTCGCTCGCCCCCCGTTTTCGCTCGTCCCCCGCTTTGAATCGCCACCCGATTTCGTTTGCCTTTCGCTGTCGCTCTCCCGCAGCTTCCGCTCGCCCCCCGCTTTCGAGCGCCCCCCAATTTCGTTCGCCTTTCGAGCGAAAGCGGCCGGCGAGCGAAAGCGGGAAGGGAGCGAAAGCGGAAATCCAACGAAAGCGGGAGGCGAGCGAAAGCGGGAAGCAAGCGAAAGTTGGGGAGGCGAGCGAAAGCGGGAGGCGCGTGGCAGGGGAGGCGAGCGAAGCGAGAGGCGAGCGAAAGCGGGAGGCGAACACGAAAGTGGGAGGCGAGTCGCCTCCCACTATCGCCGCGCTCGTCGTGAAGTAGTCTTTCCTTCTCGTCATTTAGGCTTACCCTTGGTGGCGCGGCGGGGGCGCATCCGAGAGGACTCGGAAAGGCCAAAGAGGGCGCCCCGAAGACGGCCCAAAAGGGGCCTACGAGGGTGCCCAGAGGGGGAACACGAACCAACATTTCCAGCCATCCGCCCCGAGATGGCCCCCGAGACCGCCAGGAGGCCCCCAGGAGGCTTCCAAGCAGCCCCAAGAGGCCCCCAAGAGGGCCAAACCAGACCCCAAGAGGCCCCAAAGAAGCCTCGCAGAAGCCCCGAGAGGCATCCAAAACACCCCACAACCGCCTCCAAGAGGCTTCCGTGAGGCCTCGGCAAAGATCACCGCAGGCGTCCAAGAGGCGTCGGACCTACGACAAAGGCAAGTGGCGGAATGGGCCCAGAGCCATGATAGATATGGCCGCGTAATTGATGTGGCGTTGCCAATTTGCGGCATTCACACACCCATGTTGGCGGGCATTTACGGGGGAGCCCCTAGGAGCCTAACGAAGCTGGTGTGACCCCATGCTGGTCCAGTGACCCAACGGGGCTATGCGACCCCGTGTTGGCCAGAATCGTTACTCCAATACAGAGCCCGAATGACGCGAACAAAAAGAACGGCACCGTAAACATACATACCTATATATACATATATGTATACATACATACATACAAACAAACAAACAAACATATACATACATACATACATACATATACATATATATATATATATATATATATATATATATATATATATATATATATATATATATAGCTCGTGCATTCACCTATCTCTGCCAGGCTCTTGAAGGGGGCCCCGAGAGAGATGATGCCATATGATGCCATTTTTTCCTTCACTGCGATGAAGCGCGAGGCGGGAAGCACAGGGCCGCCCAGCCGGGCAAGGAGCAAAAAAATGTCAGCGATCCGTTGAAAGCAAGCCCCATCCAAAGAAGAAAGAAGAGGAAGGAGAAAGCGAGGGAGGGGGAAGGAAGAGCTTGAGCCGTAACAACGTACGGCAGAGAACAGACATTGCAAGCATACAGTCATGAAGACAACCAGCTTGTGCATTCACCAATCTCTGCCAGGCTCTTGAAGGGGGCCCCGAGAGAGACGATGCCACTTTTTCCTTCAACGCGATGAAACGCGAAGCGGGAAGCACAGAGCGGCCCAGCCGGGCAAGGAGCAAAAAACTGTCAGCGATCCGTTGACAACAAGCCCACACCCGCAGCAGAGAAATGGCCCCAAGGCCGCATCACACACCAAAACGATCAGCTATCACCTCCGCGCGTTGCCGATCAACGGCAGCAGTGAGAACAGAAGCGATCTGCGTGCACAGCTGGCTAGGGCATGGGCAGGCAATCGCAGTCCAGTGACGATTACTGACAGGGCCACGGTCGACGAGCTCGAGGCGAGCGCAACCGGCGCGCGAACATTTACCAGCAATAGGGCTGCAACGGCGGCCCAGCTTCAGACAATCGGCACCAACGTGCCAGAAGGCAATCCTGGCCCTCTTGCGCCAGGACATGCCAAACTGGCAATAATCATGAACAACTTCATGGCAGCACGGATGAGACAAGAATTTTTCCCATGGCAGGCACCTGCCAGATCACAGAGGTGCGAGGGTTCTCAATAGCCACAGGACAGTTACACAGTATGCACAGGCGAATGATCTTGAGGCTGAAATCTAAAAGCTGGTTACCCACGTTCACCGCTGCCAGGTCCTTTTCAGGAAGGCCGGGAGGCCAAGGGGAAAGAGGAGGGAGCGAAGAGGGGGGCGCCTAGCAGCGGAGAACGCGGTGCAAGGGGTGGCTAACCAAACGCAGCACACCGCCTTCGCGAGGGTCCATCCTCGCACGCGGCGGGCAAAGGCAGGGACGAGATGATTTTCAGCGGCGTGCTGCAAAAAGTCCAAGCCTAAGGCACTGCGGTGGGGCCGACGGAACTGCCTGGCGAGCCTGGCGCTGCCGCAGAAGAGCTCGAGAAAGACGCACCGCCGAAAGACACGCCCGCGCTGCACCGCTCGTCGGAACACTTGCGCGAGGTGTCCATCGACGTCCTTGCCCGAGGCTGTCAGCGCAGAGGCTTGCCCAAGCCGCGGAGGGCCTGGCGGGCGCGGAAGGGCAGGAGCTCCAGCACCTTGCCCCCGACCAGGCCGCGCTCGACCATCAGGGCGAAGCGCGCCTCCACCTCGCGGCCGACCTCGAGGGTCGAGCTCGGCACCTGGTTCAACTGCGTCAGCACCCGGGTCTCCTTTCCGTATCTCTCGAGGGATTGGCCGGTGGCCCAGCGCCCCCTCCGCTGGACGGCCTCCACTGACCGCCTCTTGCGAAGGAGGTCGTCCGAGGCCCCTCCGTGGCGGGGGGGGTGCAGGTGGGGCCCCAGCGCTCCGAGCTCGAGGAGGTCGCATGCCATCTTGAACTGCCTCCCGAGCTCGCTCGGCGAGAAAGGCCAGAGAGGCGCGTCGTCGGGCGCGGCCTGCTTCAAGGCGGCCACGACAGGGATCAGCCAGGCGCCCATGTCCAGCAGCACGGACTCGTCCCAGTTGCCGGTCTTGCCCGGCTGACCCCCCACGGCATCGGCCAGCAGCAGCCCCCAGCGCTGGAACTACGAGGTGGCGCCCCAACAGGCGGAAGCACTCGATCGGCCGCAGGTAGCACGTGAAGGCCAGGCAGACCCAGATCCCCATGCGGAGCTGCCCGACTGCGAGCAGCACTCCCGCCACGGCCAGCGCGGCCGCGCGGGGCAGGGGCAGCCTCTGGTGGCCTGGGGCTCGGCGTCCCCAAGCTTGGGCGCACCGACTGGCCCTGAGCAGGACCGCCCGCACCTGCTTGCCGATCGACGGGTAGTGGCGAGCGACCGCCGCGAGCAGCTTGCTGCCGTCGGAGCCCGGGCGGCCGTCCAGGTACAGAGTATTCTGGAAGGCTGCCAGCGCCGAGTCCAAACCCGCGCGCGAGCTCCAGGCGACGCCCTGCGCCATGCAGAACAGGCAGAAGTCCGACAGCAGTGCGTGGTAGAACCTCTCCGTGGTCGGCTTCACCGCCGTGCGCTCCAACACCGACAGGGTGGGCAGCGCTGGCCTCTCGACAGCAGCCGCGCGAGCCCGCGCGGCCCGGTCCTGCCGAAGGCGCTCGGCCACCGACCGACGGCGCTTCCGGCTCCCTGGCATCCCGGGCGGCGGCGCCTGCAGGTAATGAAGAACAGCTCGGCCCGCAAACGGTAGCAGAAGGTCCTGGGGGTTGAGCCCGAGCGGACGCGGCAGCAGCAGCCCCCGAAGTAGCAGGACACGACTTCGCACGCCGGCTGGGGCCGCTGAACCAGCCCAACTTCCCCCGGGAGCCCTTGTCGGACGGGTTGAGCTCTGAAGGGCACCACCCGGTGCCCACACACGGGCCCCCGTGGCCAAGGAGAGGCAGCATACTTTACGCGGAGCAGCACGTAGATGAATTGACTTAGCACGGCCCTTACAAAGGCCCAAACATAACGGTAAATTGCTCCTAAGTTGCGCGACGATCGTAGAGCGTGGCGAACGGCTAGCACGGCAGCATCTC